CCCCGCCCCGCCCCCATCAGGAGAAATTGTGCCTTGAAAACGTTGTGCCAACTGAAATGAGTCCATCACAAAAGGGCACATGCCGAATGGTCCCACTTTCAGGAACTGTCTAGAACAGACAAGGGCATGAGACCAAACTGTTTCAGTGGTTACAAGGGACGGACAAAGGGGACTGGGTGGAATGAACAATGGTTTCCACTTTGGGCTGCTTACTGCAAGGTCGCCAACTCAAACCCACCAGCCGCTCTGCAGGAGGAAGCTGAGACTTTCTACTTCCGTGAAGATGCCCAGCCTTGGAAACCCACGGGGCCAGTTCTACTCCGCCCTGCCAGGTTGCTGTGAGTCAGAATCCACCTGATGGCCGTGTGTCCTGAGGAGGGGTGGACAGGAAGGAGGAAAGTTGGGCTCATTGTTCAGAGGACTTTACACTTCTATGAGGGGTCCCCACGTGACGCAGGAGGAGCCCTGGCGGAGTAGTGGGCTACACATTGAGTTGTTAATTGCAAGGTCAGCAGCAGTTCAAAGCCACCCGCCACCCCTTGGGAGAAAGGTGCTTTCTACTCCATAAGGAGTTCGTCTCTGCCTGCCCGGGGCAGCGCCCCCTGTCCTGAAGGGTTGCCGTGGGTCCGCATTGACTTGATGGCACTGAGTTTGGTTCCGTTTGGCTCTTTGTTGCCTTTTGCAGGATGTAACGGTTAAGCACTTGACCTCTAAGAAAAAGATTGATGGTTTGGTGGGTGCCCAGAGGCACCTGGGAAGAAACTGCCAATCTGCTACCCGAAGGTCCCAACCTTGAAAATGCCGTGGAACACGGTTGCTGTGCTGACGTGCGTGGGGCCACGGCAGTGACTCGGGTTGGGTGTTTGAAAGGGCAATGAAAGAATTTGGAAGCAGACAGTGGGGCTGGTGCTCGATATGAGGGGTGTGATCAATGTCATCAGAAAGTGGGTGGGAATGTGAGGGGAAATGAGGAACTGATACCCAGGGCTAAAGGTGAAAGCAAATGTTTTGGAAATGTTGATGGCAACAGGTGTATAAGTGTGCTTCATACCATTGGACGATGGATTGTTAGACGATTTGTAAGAGCCCCCCGATAAAATGATTAATTAAAATGAATAACTAAAAATTAAAAGAAAAAAAAAAGTAAGTGAGGTAGTTAGTTTATTGTGCCAACCTGGCCAATAAACACATGTGGGATTAATTGAAGGG